ACCTTCCCTGTAGGATTGTGAGGGGTGTTTACAATGATAGCTTTTGTCTTTTCATTAAATAACCCTGTCAATTCATTCTTGTCTAAGACAAAATCACTAGCCTTGTTTCCACCTTCTCTCTTAAAACAAATTGAATATAATACAAAATGTTAAAATAAAATGATTATTTGTTTAATGCTTATTTCTTACAGCATATTTTTTTTACATTAAATGTTTTATAAATAAATATGTATACATTTTATCTTTTTTGATATTTATTTACTCTCAAAGCAATTTTTAATATGCAACAGTGTTGTTTGGTTAGAAACTATTTAAAAAAAGTCTTTTTATAAAAAAGGTTTTGTAAAGAAAAACTATTAAATATTTAATATCATAAATTATACATCAATCAATCAATCAATCATATATATATATATATATATATATATATATATATATATATATATATATATATATATATATATATATATATATATATATATATATATATATATATATATATATATATATATATATATATATATATATATATATATATATATATATATATATATATATATATATATATATATATATATATATATATATATATATATACATATATATATATATATATATATATATATATATATATATATATATATATATATATTCTGAAAATAAGTTTTCAAGGCTATTTACAAATATTATTGAAATACTAATCTCTAGTAAATACCTAAATAAAAATAATTTATATATATATATATATATATATATATATATATATATATATATATATACAACTAATCTTAGTAATAATAATGTTAATAATAATAATAACAATAATAATAAAGTAATTATAATAATTTAAATAAATCGGTATTACTTTCCACACAGTAATCATGTAACAAACAAAGTTACAGTTGCAAACAGTAATAAACTGACAAAACGTAACAACTAACAATGACATAAAAACGACAACTGCTGAAGAAATTATAAAGATTTAGTAAATATATTATTATAATCATAGTTGTTAAAATATAACAATCAAAGTATATTGCAAATGTTATGACCAAATAAATAAATAACATATAAACAGAAAAACACTGAGAAAAACAAAACAAAACAAGTTACAACAAACATTAGGAAACAAAACAAAAAACTATGCAAAATAAACAAAACAAAAAACTTAAGATTAAAAAAAATAATAAAAATAATAATAATAGTACACGGTAGAATTAAACATATACAATAAGTGGCTAAAATGAAAATAAAAACAAACAATATCTTACTGTATAAAAAATTTATATACCACTAAAAATGAATAATAACTAAAAAACAAACAAATGACTAACAAAAAATAATAAGTAAAACAATATACGCTAAAAAATTGAAGAAAAGTAAATAATAAAATGAAAAATCTTAAGAAATATATGAAAGAAAACTAAAGAATTGTATGAAAAAATAAATATATGAAACAAAACTATAGAATTGTATGAAAAAATAAAAATCTTGATTTGCCGATCGAAGTTTCGCTCTTTAAATTGTTTTTTTTCATGCTTTGCCATTCTTTTTGTATATTTCATTTATTAACAGTTTTTTTTGTAACTTCTATTTTCGTTACTTTTTTACTTATTTTCTTTCAGATATTTCTTTTTCTTTTCTTCTTTTAAAAGATTTATTTATTCTTCTTTTTTGTTGATTTCATTTTTAGTTTAATTTATAAATATTTTCTTTTCCTTTTTACTTTTTTTACTTTTAAAAAGTTATTTTCAACCGTTTGAAAAAAGCGTCCACCATTTGCAATGTCATTGCAAAGTCAAAGTTAATGTCATCATAAAACTAAATGACACAGATTTATTTTATTTTATCATTATTATATAGAAATCTCATTAAAAAGAATTTAGTATTAAATGGTTACTTCAACAAATATTTTATCAAAATACCTTTATTACGAGATTTTTGCAAACTTTCTTATCTTAAGTAAAACAGAAATGTAAACACACAGTTAAATATATATTAATAAACAAATCACTTTAGTGACAAAACAATAAATAAAAAAATAATTAAAAACCTAATAACAATTTAATGATCAACAATAGTATTTTCTCTTAATAACTAGATCGACAACATTAAAAACTCTGATTACAATATCTAAATTAATGTTAATGCAAAATAATCATTTATTTTAATTTATGACTATTGACGTAGTTGCAGTCCAAATATTTGTCTAGAGATAATAATCAGAGCTTAAATAAACAGCCAAAAGTTTGAGTCTTTAAAAAAGCTTCAACGATAGTGTTTGAAAATACTTAAGGATATTGAAAACTTTAGTTTTAACAAAAAAAAACATTTTTAAACATCTTTGTACTCTATATGTACAAAGTGAAATGCTTTAAAATCTTACACTTAAATAAATTTACAAATCAGCAAAACTTAAAATTATTTATCTCCTTAAATAAATTCATTTCACTCATAACTTTGTAATAATTTGCAAGTAACTTACTAGTCGTAAAGGTATGTATCGAGGAATTCCATTCACTGCAAGAATGCTTTCACTGTAGCTATCAAAATGTGGTTCAATTAAGATTACCTAAAATTAATTAATTTAAAAAAGTAATATTTAGGGTAATGCTAAACTTGTTTTCGAACTTTTTAAAGTTTACAATTGTGCCATATTTATTAAAGTTTTTAAAAAGCATGTTTAATGTGACATGTGATTCAGACTGACACATCATGTGCAATATGTTGTTTAGTTAGCTGAAAAACTGCAACACTAGTTCAATGATTGTTTAAAATTCAAAATTTGCTTAACAAAAATATAATTTACCCATATACTAAAAATAAGATAAAACGTGTGAACTTTAAAAAAAAATTGAAAATATTTACTTTTTTATTTAATATAACCACAACTATGCCACTATGAAGCAAAGCTAAAGGAGCTACAGCAAATGCTACAACTCCAAATACAAACTCTAAAAAGCAAACTTTACTGAGTAACAATCATGATTTAAAAGTTGAAAAGCCGCATAAGCACTAACGTTGGCAAAAAATAATAACCAAGACATTTGACTTAGTTTTGCTTAACAAATCATAATGGTAGCATTAAAAAAATACTTTAGTAATTATTTGTTGTCAATTTTTAATAATAAAGTTCAGCTTAAAACTTATTGTCTTAAATTGGATGCCAAAAATTGGGGCATTTTAAAGTTGATTTTTATAAACACTGTCGGTATTGAAGGCTTTCATTACAGTTAAAAAATTACATAATTTTTGAATAACTTGTTATTGTACTTTGAAGTAAAGTTTCTAGCAATTAAAAATTTTTTTGGGAGTTCATTAATAAAAAATTTATAAAATTTTGAAATAAATATAGGTTATAAAAATTATATAGAATATTTTAATTATATTGTCACATGTAAGAAAATAAATTACTTTATTTGGATATTTCATATTTGAGCTAGTATTTTAACATAGAAATATAAAAAAGATCTAGGTGTAGTACAGAAAAGGTGTTATATGAAGGTTTTTTTGTTTTTTTAAAAATATTCTATCAAAGTTTAGTTTAGAAAGAAATTTTTATTGTAACAATAACTATACAGATATGCAAGCATAATAGTTAATACTATTATATTTATGTTAGCATTTATTTTTATATCCCTAACTTACTTCATCTCCAGGGTTGACAACAGCGTTAATGATACAGTGCAAGGCTTCATATCCACCTATTGTAACCATGACCTATAAATAAAGCAGTTGTTTTATCTAAATATAATAGCTGAACATATGATATGATAAAAACATTGTATTACGACAACTTTATTTATAAGATATTTTGTTTTCCTCCAAAAAATAATAGATACAGCGATATTAAGCATATAACAGAGTTGGTTGTAGTCATTTCTCACATGATAAACTTCAAAGGATAAAAGACTTCAGTTTTATAATGAATAAATATCTATAAAAAAAGTACACAAAAAAAACAAAACACAACCAAACATACACAAAGAGAAGACACAAGCAAAAGTACACACACCAAAATATAGAGAAAACACAAGCAAAAGAAAAGTACAAAAAGGAGACCAAGATCCAAATCTATAATTTTAAAGTGCATATTTTTAATATATCCAATTTATCTTTTTGTAGGTTTGCATCGAAATTAGACAAAATAGAATATGGTTTAAGTGTACCAGATTTAGAAAGTATTTACATAAAAAAGCATTTACATAAAAAAAAATTAAAGTTACTAAACCTTATTCAATAACAAAATTACTGTAAACATTTTTCTTTACCTCTTTCAAAGCATCTATTGATCTATCAAATAGTGGACCGTAAATGTCTGCAATAGCATTCACAAGATCAATATTACCCTGAAAAAATAAAGTAATGCAAATACTTATAGCAATTTGATATAAGCAATAGGGCGGTCTAAAAATATAAAGTTTAAAAATACAATACTCCACAAGGCTATCCTTATTCCATATGCTATTACTGATTTCATTCTAAAATTTGAATAAAATTAAGTAATATTTAGAAGTAGCAACTTTATAAGACTTTTTAAATTCAATATCGAAAATTCAAGTAATTTTACTTATCAGTTTCTGATTATGTAAATTGTTGTTCTATTATACTTTAATGTTTCTTAAACAAACAAACTTTAAAAACATACTAAACAAACTTTAAAAACAAGCTTTAGCTTGATAATATAATCATGAAACAATATTAAACAAAAGTTTCTTAAAAGTCTAGAAGTGTTCTTAGTGAAACATAAGAGCCGTTTTCGTCGGAACAGGAGACTCTTTCTGATGGCTGGACACTAGTTGCAACAGATACTGTTTCTGAGTTTCATCCTTTGTCAAGGAAGAATTAAAAGATTGAATGAGTGCAGCCCCGTTTTCTGCACAATCATTTACAACCTTTAGAACTTTTACACTAGCCAGGAATGATTAGAAGGTTGTGTAAAAAGCCCAGTTGGTCGGATGCTTTGACAAGAAGGTTCTTGCTTCTTCCTTTCCATTTATTGCTAGAAGATTGAAGATATTCAAAGAACGACTAGTGATGTATGTCTGCAATGGTGCACGATAGTCAAAATCTTTGAAATCCAGATATTTGTGTGCATTTGCGTTTGGTGGCAGAAAAAAGTTGACAACAATAGAAGCTATATTATCATCATCAACGCGTTCATCAAAGAGAGCAAGAGCAACAAGTGCCTTCAAAAATTACCAAAAGTGCCGACCAAATGCCTTGATAGCAGACTCTCTGACTTTGATATTTGGGTACTTGTGTAGTAGAATTAGGAGATTTATATCATTGAAGGAAGCTCTTGGTGCAAGAGGAGCTTCACGCCAATAGCAGGCATAGACCAGTGATACAAAAAGTGCAATGGATTTGATTCCGGCTATCTCTTTTGCAGTAAGTTAGTCCTGATCTTTAACTAGAAAAATCTTGATAGAATAGATGGCTTTAGCCATCCATCTGGCATGATGCATTGCTCAGGGTGCACGAAAACTAAATGTGCCTTCGCCTCCAAGGAAAACATAACATAGCTGTAGTACCTCCTTAAAGTCATCACGGGGAAGTTCTTCATGTATCGCATCCTTGAAAAATGATATCATATCTGCACGAAGACCAATGGGCATACCTTCAAAGAGAATGTCAGGTACAGACTTAAACTCATCCTTGTTTATGAATGGCCACATAGTTTGAAATCGTTTAAACAGCCCTATTTCAGGTCCACTGGATGGTCCAAGAACAGCAGAGAACACATTGGGGAGCACGACCTCAAACACGCAATGGCGACAAGCAATCCATACAAGTTTCTAGAGCTCTTTTAAAAAGAATGCAGGCAATGATGCTCAATCCTGTGTTGGAAGCCGTTGTATCGAAGACTAATCCTTGAATCAATGGTTTGAGTTGCCAGTCTTTTAGTGGCAAAGAACAGTGTAAGCAGGCATTACACTGTTCTTCGCCAGTGCCACGTCCAATCTTTGAGACAGCAAGCAGTTGCTCCTTTTCTTTCCCTGAAACAAGAATGGCTATTTGATCTACAAGTTCTTTGTTGTTGCCGGTAATGTCTGGAAGCAATTTTCCATCCCAATGAAGTAGTAACGGATAATCCGTGTTGGCTGAGAATGATGCCTGTTGTGCAGTTGCTACTGCCTTCCGTGTTGCCATACGAGCACGTTTAATGGTACTACGAGACAAAGCCACATCATCTAACTCCACACCGAGCGCTTGTGCCACTGCCACAACAACAAACATGGCATCTCGATCAGGAAGGTCAACTCGGTCAAATGCAGATGCCACTTCATTTGTGATAATAGATTTCTTTAACTTTATTGAAGCTGGTGTAGAATTGGTTGATATTGATGGGATGACAAAATTATCAGCAGAATCAAAAGAAGACGAGGAGGAATTGTCTGAATCAAGTTGAACAAGAGATGTAGATGGGACTGCAGTCTGCTGTGATAGAACTTTCTCCAATCTAGCAGCTTCTAGTGAAACTCTGCTTCTTTTACCGGACTCTTTGTCGACTAATGACTGGTCAATGCTAGCCATGCTGGCACTTGAGGGATCTTCTCGTTGCATTTGGAAGAACTGCTTGTCCTCTTCATTGGTCATGAGTTGCATGGTATCCTTACAGGAGATATCAAACAGTTCTTCAAGATCAGCTTTAAACTGTTCCTCATTGAACCGGCAACCATCTTTCTGCGTTAATCGATGTTTCTTCAACAAACAGTATTTATTGTATAACTTGCAAAGTTTCCGCACTCCGTTGTCAATACGTTGTGCAGGAATCCTAGCCTTCACCCAAATTTTTTAAGTCACATCCATAGCCAGTTTTGAACTTCTAGCAATCGTTAGTCCATTTTCAATGTAGTCGAACATAAAATTTTTCAAGACCGCACTATTTGTCTGCAATCCAGAACCAAGAATTTCCTCTTCACATCAGCCAAACTTGTGGTGAACTTCTGGTCATAGGCTGTGTCATTGTTATTCTATGATATAAAACAATTATCAGAAAAATGTTGAAAAGTACTGTAATTCATTAAAACAGCTTTAAATTATTTAACACAAATATGAATACTGTTTATAAATTCATCAATGGTCTAATAATCGCCAGACAACAAAAAATAACTACGTACTTAATTCCTAAAAATTATTGATCTTAGTTCATACAATGCTTACTTAAAAATAATAGATTAATAAAATAATACATGAATAAAATTGTACATGCTATACACAATTTTAATCAGTCTTTACGTAACAAGAACCCTGTCACGAACTTAAAATAAAAATTGTTCTTTTGGTTGCTACCTCTAAATATGTTCCAAATTAACCAAAATTTGTCCTGAACATTTCTATTACCAAATGGAATGAAGGGAACCTTGTGGAGCAGTATTCTAATAACATTTTTTTTTATTCATTGTATCGTGGACTGCCCTAATAAGCAAGGTTTTGAAATAAGCAGCAATTTTTAAGTAAACCTCAAGCAGCAATTTTTAAACAAACCTCTTATCATGTAAAAACTAAAGAGGTACTGCATAGTATAAGAAAAAACAACAACTTTAAAATAAAAAATTCACAACATTAATTGGAAAAAAACCTGACTTTATTATATAGGTTTCTCATTACACACTTTCTCTCCATTTCTAATTTATATAGTTTGTTCTACTTCTAGTTTACATCATTATTTAAACACATTTATATTTTTTTGTAACTATAAATTGAAACTATTTATTTCTTTCAATCGATACAAATTTTTCTATCTTTTAATTTTCCTTATACCGTAAAATTGCCTAAGTTCAGTTACCATGCATGGTCACACCATTCGGTCAAATGCATGTAACTTTGGTCATTTAAGAAAAAGTATAAAAAAAGTATGCCAAACTCAAATTTATTTTAAACTTTACAAATTTTTATTTCTCAAATAATTTTTGTAATTAAGTTTAAAATTATAAACCTATAAAAAAAAATAGTAATGTTTATATGCAACCCGCTGAAAAAATCCTTTAGCAAAGCAACAATTTTAAAAAATGCATACTATTAACATCTAAAATAAGCAAGTTATTAAAATAAACGATTACGTTTCATCTTAGTATTACTAAGAATCACCAAAATTATAATATATACGAAAAAAAATTATTAATTTTTGAAAACTAATTAAATTTTTTATAAAAATTAGTGAAATTTTGAAATACTCTAACTACGGTTATCCACGGATAAACAACGAAGACAATTAGCAGTAATATTATGAAATGTTGATAAGTGTTGCGAATGTAAAATTTACCAGTAACCTTACCTGTAAATTTACCAGTAAATTTTGACATTTTTATAATGGATACACACCATGGTATTCTATTTGAATCAAAAACTTGTTTATAACTTCCAAATTAACTGACGGTTCTTTGAGTTCTAAAAGTTATCACGCTAGTGACATTTTTTCGGAGATAAAATTACAATTCAAACAAAATTATGAATGCGTTGCGAATCCTGCGACGATTGGTTGTGTGGATCTTGCTGTTCTACTATTGTCAACGATACATGCAAGAATTTCCAATAAACATACAAAGCTCATTTAAAGCAATTTAGTGTTTTATTGTTATTTAAAAAAACTTTTTTAAATTAATTGTAAAATATATTTTTAATTTTAATAACAAGTAGCGTAGCAAACGTGATAATGGCCAAAAAATTATTACTTTAAATAATGATAATAGTTATACTACTTATGTTTGAAAAAGCCTTTTTTTTATGTGATCCTTTTTGTTTTCGTTGTTTTTTTTGAGCCCGGGACGAGGAAAACAACAATGATAACATTAAAAAAGGCCTTTTTAAATATAAGTAATAGTAGAGCCCTCCTTAGTTGCTAGTATTACCTGAATTTTTATCATAATTTTACAATGCTAAACTAATATCTCAAACAAACTCTTCTCTTCTCTGCTACAAACTATTTTTAACTTGACTTTGATATTATTAAAAATACCTTTATGTTTTACTCATTAACAAAAGTGCATGACTTACCTGACCTCTTGTATACTGGTTGTTAAGCACTGGAGCATTAGCTGCTTGTGTAGAAATTAATGCATTTTTTATGGTAGTAGGAACAACTTCTGGAAAATCAGGAAAAGCCTACAAAATGAAGTTAAATAAAACTAAAACCAGAAATTAAAGAGTATTTTAAAAACATTTTTTAATCTTAAAAATGACCTGTTTATTAACCCAACTCAAGCATTCAAGTAAATACATGTTGTTCACACACACACACACACACACAGATATATATATATATATATATATATATATATATATATATATATATATATATATATATATATATATGTGTGTGTATATATATATATATATATATATATATATATATATATATATATATATATATATATATATATATATATATATATATACATATATATATATATTATATATATATATAAAAATATGAATATATATATATATATATATATATATATATATATATATATGTATATATATATGTATATATATATATATATATATATATATATATATATGTATATGTATATATGTATATGTATATATATATATATATATATACATATATATATATGTACATACAAATGTGTATATAAATAATAAAACTTACTTGCATTTTAGTAAAAAAAACTGTTTATTAAGTGTGACAAATTTATAAGACACTTTTGGAAAAAAGTCATATATATTGTCATTTAATCACTTCAATCATACAAGAAGGTAGAGAATAATACAATATTTTTATGTACAAAATGTCAATTGCATCTTATGCAGATGCAATAAATGATTTAAGTCAGTTAGTGAACAATATTGTTTACCACTATATGTGACAGCTGTGCCCAAGCATTCTCAATGTTTCAATTTTACTGCTGTTGAAATATTCCTTTACTATCTTAGCTGTATAAACGCTAGCATTATCTTGCTGAAAAACAAAATTTTCACTACTTATTACAGATGCTTCACGTCTTAAAAATTCTTAAACAACTAAAAGATAATCCTTAGCCTTCATTTCTCTGTCAATAAAAATGAATTTTTGATTTATGATACCAAATCGAACATCAAATTATTACATTACCACCACCCATTTGAAGTTGTTGTTGTGTTACTGGTTCTTTACGCAAATGGTGAAAATAATATTCCATCTATCCAGCCCATGAAGACAAAATCGTTTCTAGTTAGAAAAAACTATTTGTTGCCACTCTTCTTTCCATGCTAGGTGGTCCTTTGCAAAAGTTACTAGATTGTTTATGTGATTTGTTGTCAAAAGTGGTTTCTGCTGAAATGTTTTGCGCAAAAGGTGAAAAGCATAATGAATAACTTGCTGAACTGTACGTAAATTCGCAATCACACCTGCTTCTGCAGCAATTTGAAATGCAGTTAATAAAGAATTTGAAGCTAGTCTCAACAACCTTCACCTATCATGATCACTTAATGTTGATGGACGTCTGGGACTTTTTTCTATTCCATACATATGAGGACTATTAACGTAGTTTTTAATCATAGCTCGGCTGGGTTCATTAGCTCTAGCCCAGGCTTGGACGGGAAGCAGGAGCAATCGCTATTTACTGCTGACCACATAAATAATATTTAGTTGTCAAAAGCTGGCCAGATTTTTTAGTCGTTTTGAGAACATTTTAAAACGCAAAAAAAAAAAAGGCGCTAAAGATTAATTGGACCAATGAGAGACAATTACAAAAAAAAAATTAGGCAAATAAAATATCTTTAAACGCTAAAAAACTTAAAGTTAAATAAATTACATTTGGAACAAATATTTTTGAAACGTCGCTCTTTTATAATTTTTAAAAATTAAGCAATGTTTTTTTATATAAAGCAACAACTTACGATTGTTTCAAAGAGAAACAAATATTCTTTATTTAACAAAGTTTGCAAGTTTTAGTTTCATTTAAGATAAATTATTTTATAAATAAAAAAGTTAATTTTTTTAATACCTTGTTTATGTTTCGCGTAATTTGAAAAGTTTAACATATTTGAAATAATTCTTCTTAGTAAGATAAACAAATGAAATAATTAAATCATTGAATTACTATAGAAATTAAATTATCAAATAAATACAACTAGATAGAAATCAACTAAAAAGGCTAAAAATACTTTATGACGAGGAAGCGAAACTGCTTCACAATATTGCTGATAATGTTTAGTGAGTGGGCTTTTTTAATTTTAATTAGTATTTAAAGCAGAAAAAAGTATAACGAGTTTTAAGAATGGCAACTTAAGAGAAAATAATTAGAGTTAGTAAACCAATATCTAGAAACTTTTCTTTATATCTAATTATTTGCTATATATATTTGTGTTCTGTCGTGAACTCAGGCGCGATGCTTGTTCATCCGCAAGTTACTTTGTATGGCGTTGTTTGTGTTTAGTAACCAGAAACTTCTTATATGTTTGTTTAACAAATTCTTTAACATTTCAACAGAATACTCTAAAACTTTATTTTGCTTAATCAGCGTATTTTTTGAACCAATAGAATTAGTTTGTTTGTCAATTTGGCAGGTTTTTAGTGTTCACGAATATTCTTTTTATTCTTTCGCACCAAGATGTTTTGAAAACATCTTGGTGCAAAAGTTTTTTAAGTTTCCATGTATGTCCGTAAAACAAAGTTTTTTGTTTCGTACATAAACTTAAATGTTCTCAAAACGACTAAAAAACCTGGCCAGTTTTTTGCAACTAAATATAATTTTAGTAGTCAGTATTCGAAAGCGATCGCTCCCGCTTTCCGACCAAGCCTGCTCTAGCCATGTAACTAACGAAGTGACCCATTTTCGAATAATTAGAGAACACTTTTTCTCATCAAGTGCAGCATGACTCATTATTAATTAATTTGTAATTTCATACCTAATAAAAAAAAATCAACTAAATTTTTGACAGTTCACAAAAGTTTACAGGTAAATATTTGTCTGTGGTGTTTACAAAAAATAAATATACTTAACTGCCCACAACTGCGGTTTGCAAATAAAACGATTTTTGTAAAATTGTCTTATAATTTTGTCTCACTGAAAAAACGATTATTTTTTATAAAATGCAAGTTATGTTAAAAATAAATTTGTTAAAAAGTTGTTTAGTGTTGTAAACCCTTTGCTTTCATTTACCATAAAAATTAGTTTTTGAATATAAATGTATAACAGATTTTATAAATTATTTTTGAGGTGTCTTATTATTATGTGGCACAGTGTATATTCTTTTTGGAAAAAATACACCCTAAAAGTTACATTCTTGTTATAATAAATAATGGTTAAATTCAACAAATGTACCTGGTATATACTACCTAGCATAACATTTTTTTAATTCACAGACACAGTTGTGGTAAAATATGGTTAGAATTCAACAAATACAAGCATATTTATTGAATTCTATTTATAATTTATCATATCAAGAAAATATCTTTAAAAGAAAATTAAACATAACATTAAACTGAAATTAGTAAACTAACTAACCTGACCCAGGTTCACTGGTTTGTATTTATTAACTAAATTTGTAGTTTCAACCCTAAAAAAACGAGTTTTTCAATTTACAAACAACTAAAAAATTATATTATTTAATATATATATATATATATATATATATATATATATATATATATATATATATATATATACATATATATATATATATATATATATTATATATATATATATATATATATATATATATATATATATATATATAATATATATATATATATATAATATATATATATATGTATATATATATATATATATATATAAATATATATATAAATATATATATATATATATATATATTTAAACAATTTAAAATGTATTCTACATAATATATATATATATATATATTATATATATATATATATATATATATATATATATATATATATATATATATATATATATATATATATATATATATATTTATATGAAGGGCACAGGGGTAAAAGCAGACCTGTCACATTTTGCAAGTTTTGAGAAAACCCATTTTAAAAGTTCAAACACTCCTCAATGATCAAAGATACAGAATACAAAGTTGAGATTCTGCATACAGCAAGCCGAACCAATATCATTGCTATAAATGATAAAGTTTGTATGTTTTTTTATGACCGTTGGGATTTAAACTAAAAAAATCACACAAGAGGTGGTTTTGTGACATGTCTGTTTTTTCCCCTGAATCCAAAATATTCCAAAATAGGCTAAGCTTTATTCTCCAGATATACTCATAATGCTATGGGACGCTTAAACAATGACATTAGAAGCCATATAAATCAATCTTATACATATTTTCATGCATTTGTGATCGGTCTGCTTTAAATTAAAGTTATCATAGCGAGTACTGGGATTTTGGTGTGTACACGTACACTTTATTCCAAAGTGATAGCGAGACATTTTTTGTAATTGACAGAAAGCTTAATTTCATGACAACTGCACAACATACACAAACAGCACACAAGAACAAAGTAGGAAAAATAAAACAAGCTACAGTTGCAACATAAAAATGAAACAAGGGATTCAACATAACAAATTCAATCCTCATTCTCCGACAAATCACTGAGTTCATGACCTGGGTTCACTCTAGCAGTGTCTGATCCACTATGAGGGAGCTCATCGAAGAACTGATGATTTGTAGGGCTGCAAAACCTTTTCAATACTTGAAGGTCTTTATACTTTTCTGAGCTGATGGGCAGAGGACCATTTTCATACAACTTTGTAAGGACAGACATCTGTGGCTGCTTCTTCCCACGCCGAGTCCGTGTTTTTTTTAATACAGCAGACACAAACCCACCATTCCAGGAATCCCTGTAGAGAACAAGCAATGGACGAGAGTCCAAAATGTGGATCTCCCTGACTGGGCGTGTCTTTATAGGGCATACGGCTTTGAAGGAAGGTCGAAAGTACTTTGTGTAGGCGAAGAACATGTCCTGTGTAGCCCTGATGACCGTGAAAGGTGTTGGACGTGATCGGGCAGTTGCAAATTCTGCTAACCAGTCCTCTGGCAAGTCTACATTCTTTGTCATGTTGACGTTGCTAAAATCTCTATCGCACTCCATGTAGGAGTGGCCTCTTATCGGAAAGGTGATTTTCACCAACTTGAATCTCTTGCGTTCATGTACCTGATTGTATAAGAACCTAATCATTGTTTAGTTTTTATTTTGACCACTACACCCATCGCAGAAGAAACTGATTTCGTCCACGGCTTCAGAAATGTGGCTGCGGATGAAGTCAGCAAGAAATGAACAAACGTCGTCAGCACCCTTTTTTGCTACTGTTTCATCATATGTATACATGATAATACATGGATTACAAACGTATACAGGGTGAGCTGTCTGCGATAGTAAACGTCATTGGTGGACTTGTTTGGCACTGGTAGGTTTTTGGCAAAGTCAAAGCAGATGGCTTCAAACTTGTCACATTTTCTTGCCCTTTCTTTAGCTGCAGCTTTCCTTGCGTAGAATGTGCTGGCCTTGCGTTTGTGCAGCTCGTGGTTCGTGAGTAGTTCAGTTTTTTTGCTGTTCAGACCAGCAACATCTCTACCATTGCTTTCGGCATTGGCGATGTCACCATCCACATGCTGCAACTTCACGATGAATTCGTCACATGTGGAACAAGTATCTTTCTGTGGGTAACCAAATCCAATGTTGAATTTCGTGTTAAACAGTGTCCTGTAGGATTCATAGCTAATCTGGAAAAAAAAAGAAAAAGTAAATAAAGAAAAAAAAAAATAATATCACATTATCATATATAGCTTTGAAAAAAAAGGTGTTGAATTTCTAAAACGAGGCAATAGAAGAAGAATTTGAGTTATCTGATCAGTGTTAAAAGATTCTAGATTGTCAACTTTGATTTATTTTTATAAATTATTACATTCATTGTGTCATTAATAGTCTTTAAAATATCTAATCAAAATTTATTATATTTAATTTATTTGTAAGTAATCTTTAAATAATGTTAAAAATAAAGGAATTAAATTAATTCAAGTTATTTGGTGTAGTGTGCTTTATATATACACAAAGTATGAGAGTTTTTAGAAAAGCTTACATTTTCGAGCTCGTAGCAAAATTTTGTAATAATATGCCCTGATAATATAAATAAATTAAATTAAAATATAAGAAGCCAAACCCAACAGATGCTGTGATGGGTTTGATATGTAAATTTAGCTGCAATTAAAAATTAGTATTCGTGCATGCACATATAGTAGCTTCAAAATATCCTCTATTTCACTGTCACTGACATAAAAACATACACAAACCTTGGTTTCAGGGTGAACTGACACAAACATCTGATGCATTTTGGCGACATTCAAGGTATCTGGAAGGTACAACTTTCTTGTCTCCCCCTTGTTATGCTTTCCTCTTCCATCTTGTGGTGCATGACCTGCGAGGAAAAAACCCACACAATATGAAATAAAATTGACAGAGGAAATTTGATAGTGTGGGGTAGGAAGATGGCATATGGTAGAAGAAAACATAGTAGAGGTATCAATGAACGACAATAAAAACTGCACATTACTAAGTTTGCTGTAACAGAAAGATTTGTATGAGAAATCAAATTCACCTTCTGTTTGTGCTTTTTAAAGCAAGACATAACATCACTATTAAATCCATAATAATATTAATAATAATAATAATAATAATAATAATAATAATAATAATAATAATAATAATCTTTATTTCCTCCATAAATTAATAATCATAAATTAAAAAGAAGATGAATAATAATACTTATACACGATTTTTTTTGTATAAGCAACTTAGAATTTTGGTCAGAACTCGAGTTGCTTATTTTTCAGCCAATTTCTATATCTCGAGTTGCTTAATGGTTGCTTAATGGTTGCAAATTATCTTCTTTTTCCTTCCTACTACCAACTCACCACGATGACAAATCTTTTTGGTAAAACCAAAGTTGAACAAATTTGTCTGCTTTCTCTTACTCATGATCTTAACAGCGTTGTCAACAACATACACAACAACACTTCTGTGATTACTTTTTTTTGAAATCGTTTATCTAAAAGAAGTCATTACATTGCAGAGAAAAAAATTGCAATATATGAGTTGCTTATGTTAAAATTTTTTAAGAACTGAAGTAGCTTAGTATTTTTCCACATCGAGTTCAGTTGCTTATAAACGAGTTCCTTATACTAAAAAAATCGTGTATTCACACAAATTCACACAGATCACATAAAAAAAAATAAAAAAAATAACAACAATAATAATAGATCTAGTAATAAAAACAACAACGATAATAACAATAATTATAACAATAACAATAATAATAATAACAATAATAATCTTTACTAAAATTATAAATTGTATTATTCAAATTAACAACAAATTAAAAGCACTAATTCCAATTCCTACTCACCTGTTAATAACATTGCTTTGCGGACTGTTTCTACACGGTTTTTTGTGATGCCGAAGAGCAAGCAAAAGGCTTTCACACACACTGCCACTGGTTCCACTGATGTTCCTGTTGATACCTTTACGACATACTTAACACTCATCTCTTTATGTTTATAAGAATTTTCGTCTGCACCTTCCCTACACCTACGTTGTTTTACAGGGAGAACTACTACCATTGTAAACAGATAAGCATCTTGGCTGTCTTTGCTTGAGTATGTGTTGAAGCCCTCAATAAGTGATTGTCTTGCAGCTTCACTTATCTGTTCAAAACATTTTAGACGGCTGCATTTGCAATCCTCACCTGTTGTGTGACTTTTTATGCGTTTAATCTTTGCCGCATCTTTTTTCCTTCCATTAGTTTTTCGCTTTCGAGGCGTTACAGTCACAACTGGTCTGTCAAAGCAATCCGCCATTTTGCACGCACTTTGTTGTTATACCAAAGCTAAACGCTGATTAACTGACCTAGTAATGTGAATCGACACCACATGACTCAGCGGGGACATGTCTACTTCTTCCCCTGTACAATTTGGACATGTCTGGTTTTTCCCCAGATGGCTATAATTTTAAATGCTAAATGCTCGAGACTTTGCTGGTTTTTCGGTTGGACAACATAATAGGATGTAACTTTGTGTCGGGTTCTATGTAGCAAGGGAAAAAACTCAATATATGAAATTTTTAACATGTTTGCTTTTTCCCCTGTGCCCTTCATATATGTATATATATATAAATATAATATATATATATATATATATATATATATTATATATATATATATATATATATATATATATATATATATATATATACATATATATATATTAATACATTTGTATACTTTAATGACTTTGTTAAATTTAATATTGTTGTTACAGAAAATATACTGCTTTGGAGAAATAATGTTTCCAAATCCAAATCTTCAGGCTAAGCAACTGTATTTCTTTAAACTAGCCTTAACCCCCTTAACAAATAAAAAGTATAGTATATTGAGCAACCATATAAAATTACCCAAGGAATATATTTAATTTAACAATAATATTAAATTTAAACAAATCATTAAAGTATTATTATGTATTAAATATATATATATATATATATATATATATATATATATAA